TCGTCGTCATGGGGATAAGGTGTCCCGGGCTCCCTGCCTGGACAACCCCAGAAGGACCCCCTCTGTCCATCACAACTTGCTTCCTTTAAGTCTCCCCCCCCCGCCGCCGCCGCCCCCCAGAAATCGACGGCTTGGTCTTGAGCCTGACCAGCGCGTCCCCAGCACCCCCTCCTCTTGCCACTCGCTACCAAGGCACCCAAGTCGGGCGCCCCCCCCCGTCCTCTCCCCAGCCCCCGGGGCAGAGGCGAGAGGGGCCGCTTTCCCCAAAGAAGAACTCCTGGGGGGGGGGCATGAAGTCTGCCTCTGATCGGGAAATCCAGGCACGCCCAGGAACACGCGGAACGTCTGGAGGTAACAGGTTGAGTGACCCACCTCGCCTTCCGCGTTAGAGGGTTGTGTGTGTTATTGATTTTTTAATTCCTGGGGACAAGAGGCTTGACACTCAAAGCAAGCTGTGGGGGGATACACGACCCACATGGAACAGATCATCCAGGACGACCGGGAGAAAGAGCAAGGAGGGGCACGCCCAGGAACACGCGGAACGTCTGGAGGTAACAGGTTGAGTGACCCACCTCGCCTTCCGCGTTAGAGGGTTGTGTGTGTTATTGATTTTTTAATTCCTGGGGACAAGAGGCTTGACACTCAAAGCAAGCTGTGGGGGGATACACGACCCACATGGAACAGATCATCCAGGACGACCGGGAGAAAGAGCAAGGAGGCAGAAGAGAAAGCATACTAGGAGCTGGGGGGGGGTCAGCTGAGATGCACCCACCGCTAGAAAGTTGGCGCCGAGGCCGTTTTAAGGGAAGCCTTTCATCTCCAGCTCTGGATGGTGGATCGGGCCCAAAAGCCCAACACATCCGGCACCCATGGTCGCCAACCAGGTGTCTCCCAGGAGCCCAGAGGGAGCAAAACGATACACGACCCTTGAAACGGGAAGATCTCCTCGGACAGACCATCCTTCCCCTCCACCCACCCCCCTCTTTTCTTTAAAGAATCCCCTTCTCGGGTCTCCCAAAGCTCGTTACGAAGGGAGGGAGAGAAAGAAACCAACGCGGCGGCGGGAGGAAGGGGGCAGGAGGAACATTGTGCTCCTGAAATCAGCCGCTAAACAAGGGCGATGCTTCGGAAGTCCGTGCGCTGTCCGTGGTGCTGACACAGCACGGACCGTCCAAGCAGAAAGTTCCGTCCGCCTGGCCATCCGAAATGCAATTATTTACTGGCACTTACAGAGAAGTGACTAAGTGAGCCCTGATTGGGGGTGGGTGGGGGTAATCTAGTAGCTGGAAGGTAGGACAAGCAGCAATAAAGCAACATTAACAATAATATAATGTTATTAATAATAAGACTAATGCACTTGAAAGGGTCTGGAGGATCTGGAGGGTCCCTTCCAACTTTGCTGTTCTAAGATTGTTTTGTTGTTGCTGTTGCTGCTGTTGCTAGAACTTAGGCACCCCAAAACAATTATCTTTAAACAGCACCCAGCACAGCAGCTGTAAAGAGACTTGTGTTTTTAAGAAAAACGTTTTGAAAAATCAGGTCTTTGGAAGGTGCTATTGCTGGAGTTTTAAAAGCTATGGAGGTGTTGGGGAAGTTATTTTAAATGTGGGATGATATTCCAAGGCAGGCTGGGTAACATGGGAAGGGGGTTTAAATCCTTCCTTTCTCAATAGCCACACTCAGCTGCCTCCTTTTCCAAACGCACGTTGCCTCTTAATAATTTTGCAAAGTAAGGAGGGACAAAAAAGATGATCTAATTCTAGACCAACTCCATGTTGATGCAGGAAAGATACCGCTAACTCTCTTCATTAACTTTGTGATGGCATTTTCGGTTATAAAAGTGAGCAGCTAGCAAACCAGTCGTGGCAGCCACTATACTAAGAAGAAGAAGAAAATCTTATCGTTCTCCAGAAATGGGAAATCACAGACAACCTTATTTTTTTTCATCCCCTCTGCCTGATTCCTGGCCCTACAAAGCACTACATTATGTGGTGTTGAAAAAAATACACTTCATAAAAACGGAGGAGAACCTCAAGTCATGAAACTGAACCCAACCTATCTGGAATCCTTCCTTAACGATCCCTCTGGGTGTACACGATCCAGCAGTGGTAGGTTATCAATGGAGCTGAAGTCAATGTTTAAGTGGGACTAGCTAATTCTGGTTTTGCTTTTTCCTCCTGCCTTGCAATGACACTGCAGGACAGCTCCTTAACATTTATATCCAAGTAACTTGGATAATAGTTTCATATGTTGGCGGAGTACAGTGGTGCCTCGTTTAACAATGATAATCCATTCCAGGAAAATCGCTGTTAAGTGAAAACATCGTAAAGCGAAATTAAAAACCCATTGAAACACATTGAAAACCATTCAGTGTGTTCCAATGGGGTAAAAACTCACCGTCCAGCGAAGATACTCCATTCGGTGGCCATTTTTGGTGCCTGCATAGTGAGGAATCCATCCCTAAGCATAGCGGGGGGCCATTTTAAGCACCCGGCGGCCATTTTGAAAACCCGATGATCAGCTGTTTTTGATCGTTGTAAAGCGAAAATCAGTTCCCGAAGCAGGGAACCAATCATCGGTAAGCAAAAAAACCCATTTAGACCATCGAAAAAAGATCATCGTAAAGCAGATTCGTCATCATGTGGGGCAATCGTTAAGCGAGGCACCACTGTATATTTTCATCCTTGTATGTAATTCTGCAGTGAGACAGAGTGTGGCCTCCACCATTCTTTCTAGCCGCCTACAGGAAGTCAAGGCCCCATTTCCTCTAACAGATGAGCATCTGACTCCCAGATGGACATGCCGCCTCCTCCATGATACCCTCAGCCCATGGTTTTCAAGATGTTGTATTCCCTCCATACAAAAAAGCAGGCTTAGGCGAAGCGCTTCAGATAGGCCTAGTTGCTGTCAACCACAGCTTCCCTTGGCTGCATCCAGGGCTGAAATGTAAGCCCTGGAAGCTTCTCTGAAATTAAACGTGGCCCTCAAAAACTTTTGCTTTGTAACAGGACAGGGGATATATAGGCCCTCCAGCTGTTAGGGACTTCAACTCCAAGGAGTCCCAGCCTGCCTGGCCAAAGCTACGGCATTGTGGGAGCTGTAGTCTGGAAAGCCATAGGCTCCCTCTGAACTGAAACTAAAATCAGTTGCTCATCGATTTTGAGAAGCAAAGCTAGAAAATGTGGCCACTGTCATTTGTCAAGATGATCAAGGAGGATCTCTACATATGTTTACACTTGTCTGATACAGTATCCTCTAAATCGGCTTTTTTCCCAATCTGCTAATGTTCAGGTGTTTGAGACAACCAACCCCATCATCCCTCACAATTTACCATGCTTCCTGGGGCTAATGGGAGTCCTGGAGGGAGCAACAGGTTGGGGAAGGCTACATTTTTAAATGCAGTCAGCCAGGATTCACGAACGGTTAATTCAGCTTGGAAGCTTCAGTGTAGGAGAACCGTCCTTTATTGACACTGATGGCCCATTTCGGAAGCCAGCATAACAAAATTCTGTGTTGCTGGGTAGTTAATCATGTCGCCGTTTCTCTGCGTGTATAAGCCAAACTATTCAATATACGTCCTGTCTCTCTGCCTCTGTCCTCTCCTGCATCTGGGGCTGTATGCCAGGAATTCAGTGAAATGTTCCTGAAGGGAAACAGGAAAATGGACTCAGTATGGCTATCATCAAGCATACCTTTAGACATATTCTCCACGCCTGAGAATAGAAGCAGGAAAGAGACCCTTGTTCAAGTGACGGTTTGAATCCGTATTTCAGAAACAGCACAGAGAAACCAGGACAGCTTTTGATTGTTCACTGAATTGAACAACTCCACCTTAAGAAGCTGAGCGTGGCAAAGTTAATAGAAAGCATCCGGGTACAGCAGCATCTGTATCTTCTTGAAAAGAGAACAGCTGTCTTGAAAGGAGCAAGTGGAAGGGGTATAACCACACCTAGCCGATGGCCCTTGGAGTCTCGGGGACCTGCAGATACGTAGATCCTGGCAGAAGCTTTTGTCAGTGAAAGTCAAAATCACAGGCGGCCACACCTAGCAGATGGCCCTTGGAGTCTCAGGGACCAGCAGATAGATCCTGGCAGACGATTTTGTCAGTGAAAGTCAAAATCACAGGCGTGACCAATGCAGGCGCTGTGTATGTATGCAAATACGCGTCTTGCCCTTGGCACAGAAGGCAGCTGCCATCCGAACCTCCCTCCTGGATGGCTGCATTATCTCTAACAGGTATTAGGGTACTGCAATGAGAAGACTGAAGAAGCCCCCACCAAAAGGAAGGATTCCCCCCCCTGCTGCCGCTTTAAAGCCCTCCCCTTCATGCAGCTGTACTGCCTTGATTCAAGAATGTCATCCGAGGACA